CTGAAGATCAAAAACATGATGGTGAAGCAATATGAATCAAAACTGGTCGACCAATTTGATACCAAGGTTAAAATTAATGAAGCAAATCATACAGCAAAGTTACTTCAAGTTACTAAAAAAGATGATCTTAACAAACTTGATAAAAAACTTGAAGCAGCTTCACTAGCATTTGAAATTAAATACACTGAACACACTGAAGTGAATTTGTTGGATTCTGCTGAATCACATTTTGAAATTTTATTTGGCACACACAAGGAATACAAATGCACACCATGTGCATCACATCTCCATGTTGTATATAAAATCAAGCCAGGTATCACTCGTCACATGCAAACTGTCCATGGTAAGTTCAGCACAAAAGATCTGAAACAAAACACAAGATTACTAATCTCAATATTTAATATCAAAAATCTGTCATAATAATAAATTATTATTTACACTTGGTAAAACTATTCTAAAGTCAGCCTAAATTGTCAAATTTGTAATGACACTATTTTCTAGGTATTAATTCTTCAACTTCAAACACATCAATGTGTGTCACGTTTACTGGAGTAATGGGGCAAGTGGAAGGGGCGTGGCACATTTTTTTTGAAAATCATTTGTATATTTATATGTAAACTATATTTAGTATATTCTCACTTTAATATTACATAATTTATTATGAATAATATGTCAGAAAAAATATTGAGAGAAACGAATGAAATGCATTGGTATCAAAAACAGATACATGGAAAATGTTCATTTTATCCCTATACCCATAGTATCTCAATAGTGTATATATTATCTCAATAGTGAATATATGGTATGCAAATTAATGACAAAATACATTATGACACTTTATTCACTACTTCTATGAGGGACATAACGTGTATATGGTCGATCTACATATCGTTGTAAAGCTCTTGAAATCCCGAACAAAATTACGTTTTTCATTTTCACGACCAGCATTTTTGCAACAAAAAAGGCGCCAACAATTGAAGAAATCGAACGTTATTTTCTAAAAATTGTTTTTTTTTCGTGTAAAACGTAATAAAAAAGGACTTACCGAACGTAACATTGTGAACCGCCATGTTGAAAATCCATAGGAGGCACTCTCGCGGTAATTCTAACATAACAGTGAGAGGAGTAGGCCAAAAACCACCAAAAATGCAGTAATTTCGCATAATCAATTATAGTCTATAACTATTTATTGAAATGGTTAAAACAATTCGGGTAAAAAACTTCAAATACATCAAAAAAATGAGAATTCCAGTATCAAGTTGGGAATGAGGCTGGTGGATCAATTGAGGTCATAGAATGCTGATAGCGTGTATGCCAGTTTTTCTTTCAATTTGAAATTGCGCCCTCGTGCGGAGATAAAGTGTATATTGGATGGTACAAAACGCATTGAACTCTGGGATATCACATTTGCCGTGCTGTAGCCTGGTTAAATGTTCATCAAAGGTTTCTGAGAATACAATTATGTCATCCAAATATATGAGTAGAGTTTCAAAGTTATGATCATCCAAACAACACATCATAGACGGGAAAAAGATGCAGGTGCATTTTGAAGTCAGAACGGCATACGATTTGCCTCAAACAGGCCCATTGCGTAGTGAATGCAGTCTTATGCCGATCCTTCTCGGCCACTTCAACCTGCCAATAACCAGATGTAAGATCCAGTGATGAAAAAAACTTGGACTTGCCCAATGCCTCCAGTGCTTCCTCCATCCTGGGTAAGGGGTATGCATCACGAACTGAGCGAATGGCACCAGCTGCTTCCATGTCCTGGATGTGTTTCCGAACATCATGATACTGTGATGGTGGGATTCT